TAATAAATTTGGTAAAGTATTATTCTTATTAAATTATCAATTAAAATATAATAGCAAGTTAACATGTAAGATAATTTATCAGGTGAAATTGTTATTTTTTTTTAAAATATAAAATAATATATTACGTTTTTGTATTCAAATATATTATTTTAAAGCTATATAAAAATCAAAACTAAAATATCAAATTTTAATTTTTTTTTAAAAAAAAAAAAAAAAAAACACTCAATGAAATCAAGTATTTGGGTATTTGGGTAAGGGTGACCGGCACAGAAAACTAGAGTAGATAATTTTCTATTCTCTTCTCATATGTATAGTCTATATGTAAAGAGTGTCTCTCACTGCTACTTTTTAATCTCAAGCTGCTTTTGCCTCGCTTTAGTTGAACCTACAAGGTGTAATTACAAAAGGTGATTGACTGAATGATTAGGGCCTGACCCCATCACACACACACATATATACATATATTCCTCTACTTTTATTCTCAATATTCAATTGATTTGATTGCTTCCTTCCTTCCTTCCCGTCATTTAATTTCATGCTTGTAAAATTAATCAATTATCATATTCACATTCGGCGAAACCAGACAACCTTCATTTCTCATCAATGATTTCAGACCGAATACAAAACCCAAGCTATATAACTTCACAGCATAAAAGGGCTCGATGGACCAAGTATTGATTATAGCGTCCCATACCTTGTTGACTTTCTTATTTTATACATGTTAATGGGCATTGCACCGCTTTCTCCAACCCGGACAAATGTTTTATAACCGAAGCAAGCAAAAAAAAGAAGCTATAGCGCAATAAAGAAATGCTAGTGCTAATATTTCTCACAAAACCATGTTCATATAATCATTCATTATGCCCCATAAAAAAGAATCAAATTATGATCACCATTTTCTACCGTACGTCGAATGTTGATCGACATCAAACGTAATAAATTTTTAACTGTAGATATTAATTACTCGTTAAAATTAATCATAATTTTTATATTTGATGTAAATCTGTTTTAATTACGATGTTGTTTTTCTTTAAATTTTTTATTTTATTTGTATTATATTCGTATTTTTATCTCGTAGAAATTAAAATTAAAATTAAAAAAAAAAAAAAAAAAAAAGTAGTTTTAAAGTTGTGTTGTTTCTTTTATGAGTAGAAAAGGATGTAACCACAGAGCCAAAACTCGCAAAAAGCAAAAGGGGAATCTCATAAATGAAGGAGGAGTAAGACGTAAGGAAAATAAATAACATTATAAAAATTTAAAAAATAAATAAAAAAGTAATAAATTTCAGTGCCTTTGGTAGACAAGTCTTTCTTTTTGATCAATTCCTTTTTATCCTTCTTTTTCTTTTTCAACCTCTTAATTTTTTTTTTTCGAAAGGGTTACTTTTTGGGGCTTCATCTAGTTTTCCTTTTCTTTTTTTTTTTTTTTTTTTTTAAAAAAAATTTATTTTCAAAGTCAGAATTCCCAACTGGCAAAAAAGAAAAAATAAAATATTAAAATGTGTATTTGTTTTCTAAAAACGGTGCGTTTAGTGGAGTTTGCCCCATACGGGAATGGTTGGCGGGATCGATGCGGACAAAATATGGGGGGTGATTGTCGTACCAACCAATCTATTTCATTAATTAATGCTGAGGGACACAATTTCGAGGAGGATCGTGCCGCTACAAATTTTTTTCTTTTTTCTTTTTTTTTGAAATTGTAATTTAATTTTTTTTAATATCCAGAAATCTCCATTTTTAAAATATTATGATTTTTTTAATAATCAATTTAGTCTGATTAATTAAAAATACGCATTCAACATCAAAGCTTTTTTTTTTTTTTTTTTTTATATATTCCAACAAAATGCATGATAGGATTTGAACTACATGGGTTTCAATTATTTATTTAGATTTTTTAATAAAAAATTAGATCAATTATAATTAAATATTTTATATTTTTTAAAAAAGTCAAACACGTATATTAATTATCTTTCTTGTCGGATACACTACAAATAAGTATATCAATATTTGTAATGAAATTTAGTATCAATTTATTTTTTTCTTACGTTGCATCTATTTTTTTTTCGAGATACGAAAATTTTGAAGTTGTTTTTTTTTTTTTTTCTTTGTATATATACGCGTATATAACAAAAGAGAGAATGAACAAAACAGACTTTTGTAGTGTAAATGCTGCTGTCTCCACCACAAATATCTTTTTTCTTCTCTAATTTTTTTTTTTATATATATATATATATAAGAAGACAAGTGCATGTAATGCTCGTAACAGTGAAAACGTCTGCACATATTGTTTAATCGTTAGAAAGAAAAAGGAATCAATGATCGATGGGAACAGCTACTAGAAGTGAGCTTTGAATTTGCAAGGCTGCTTCCAGAGTAAGCTGGATATAATATATATATATAATCCTCAACGCTTTGAAGATTGTGCAAAAGGAAAAGGAAAAGGAAAAAAAAAAAAATTCACTTTCTTCTCATACTCAGGCTTTAAGCTTTATCCACATTAGTCTTAAAAAAAAATAATAAAAAGAAAAAAGAGAGAAGTGTGTGTGTGTGTCAGCAATTCTCCGAGCTCTTTTGTTTGCTAAAATGGAAAGCACATGCACACTATTTGGCTTCCTCAAGTGGTCCATCTAATACATCACACACAAAAAAATTGTGCCATGTGTATTGTATACGCACAGATTGTGACAACATATATGGAAGAGTATGGAGAAAATTGAGTGTCCAAAAAGGTTGTGCCAGCAAATTAATTACTAATTTCGTGGGGGATATATAAATAATATATTATATTATATTCTATACACACACACACACACAGAGCAATTTGTGCTTAGCTTCATTTACCCACAACAGCAAGTAGCTCATTTGGGTTGCATGCCCTTCCAAACAAAAATCCAATAAGACCAACATATTACTTGTCTTTATATATATATATATATATATATATAGGTGAGATTTAGTAGATGTGAGACATAATCTACTAATTAATTTACTTAGTTTAAACACTTACTATAACTATGTTTATGTTTCATCTTGATTTTTTGAAAAATAGTATCAAATTGTTTAATATTTGAATTCAACTCAACTTTACTACATATTTTAAAATTTTTATGATGTTCATATTAATTTTGTAGATTAGATCCAAATATGGCAAATCAAGTATAATTTTATTTATTCGATTTAGTGGAGTAAATTTAGTATGAATCACCCAAAACTTGACCTAAATTCAATAGGCTGCTATCTTTAATTTTTGTGGTAAAAATTTCAATTTCATAGAACAACAGTGTAGTCAATTTTATAATTTATGTTATAGCAAATCATACTTTTAACAGTTGCGATAACCCTAAATATAATTTTACCATCTTGTAGTCTCGAAAGTATATTAAAAAACTCTATATTATTGATTATATAAATCTCAAGAGTCTTCGCGTTAGGATATTATTCACTTACTATTTTTCTTTGTACATATTTAACTCGATATTTAAATGAAGTATACCCTGCAGATTCATATGTCCGAGTTTTAGTTATTTGTTACATGGCGCTAAAATATGCGATGAAGCCCTTCAAAAATTTCATGGGCCAGGCCGATGAACAGATCTCAAGCAGAAAAGAAAAAGCCCATATGAATATGGAATCGGAAATGCTAAGGACCCTACCGTATATCAGAGGAGGAAGAGGACCCGCTTTCTAACTCTAGAAGATAAACTGGTAGCATAAGATAAAAATGGCAGGCGCCAAGTCTCTGCAACCAAGAATTTTCTCTTCTTTCTTGGGCGACCGCTTTATTCAATCGACACAGCAGCCTCTGTGCCGAATCTTTTATTACAACCCAGGTACCTGACTTTATTTTCTTATTAATTTATGTTGCGATGCAATAATACCCAGATTGCAAGTCGTAGTCCTTAGATTAAAAAAAGTGGAGCTTTGTCAGATTTTAAACTGGTTCGGCGATAGCAGCTATTCGTTATTCAGGAGAATCTGATATGCTGTAGGTTCATACTGAGTTAGAACTGGGTAATAAGTTTTGTGTGCTTGGATGAATTTAAATTATTGTAGTATGTCAAAAGATTCATGAACTTAAAACAACTTAAGTTATTTTTACCTGTTAACTGCAAGGGGAATTGGGTTCGGCATGTCGGCCATGCTTCTGCTGTAATTAAGGTGACACTTGTCACCTTCTCATGTTTCCTCTTGGTTGCGCAAGACCGAAATTGTGTCCATGTAACTTATTCTTAAACTTGGGGACTTTTGATCACAAGCTTGTAAAGTTTTCATTAGTTCAAATACTCAATATGATGAGGTGTGCGTGACAAACAGTGAAGTGCAAATTTATATGGGCAAGAATGTAATGGGTCTAGTATTTGGCTCTGTTATTAGTTACCTGGAAATGTTGTCTAAAAGGTATGGGATTATGAGTGTTCTTTTCTTAATTATCTATAAAAATTTTCTTTTGTTTTTATATGTGGCCGGTTTTTTATTTTCACTCACAGGGAGCAAGCATGTTTCGATGCAGTTATCCAGAACCTTTTCTGGCTTAGCAAGTCTCTTGTTTAATAGAAGGTATTTTGATGAAATTTTTTCCGTTAGTTTTAGCAATGTGCAAGAAACAGATCCTTTTCCCTTCCATTCTAGTTGTAATAAACATTTTATTTAACAGATTAATAATGTCTGGCTATTTCATGTCATCTTTGAAAATCCCTTGATGCAAATGATATTGAACTCTTGTCTCTCTTTTCATGACCTATTTATGTCGTTTCTTATGAGTCTATAGCACAATGGTTGTGTGTGTGCCTTTGTTTTTTTTTTTTTTGCCATTTAACTTTTTCACTGCATTTGGTTAAAGTTTATTTTATTTTGATTATATTTTAAATCTTAATAATTTGATATGTAGAATTCAGTTATAGTTCACTTATTTGTATTACCACTTATCAGAGGATCAAACACAAAAACATGTAACTTGAGTTAACGGGGAATTAACTTGTAACTAAAAACCATTTTCAATCAAAATTTTGTCTCTTTTGTATTTTATTTCTATTTCCAATTCCATAAAATTGAAATTTAAAACAAACTCGACCTATTTTTTAAAAAGTGAAATTTAGGTAGAGAATACATTTTATTTGCCGGTTGCATCACTACTTCTTGGTTATACCATGTCCTCTTTTCGATCTCCCTTTTTATTGCTGCCATGATGTGATTGAAAATAGGCAAGTTGAAGGAATAGCATTGGTCCTCATTAGTCTAAATATTCACTTGTCCGTTTCCCATTTATAGACCTTTTTGCTCTAGGTTTGGGACTTCCAGCTGCACATTTCAATAGGACTTTGCATGACACGTAATCTAAAGTACCCATAAGCACATCCAATCTTAGAAAATTAATGATTTACTGTTGAAATAATCAGAAATGCAGATGAAGTGACAAAGAGCAAGCGCAAACGTCTAAGACCTGGAAAAGTATCTCCTCCTAGACCTGTTCCACATCACATACCAAGACCTCATTATGTTGATTCTTTGCAACTGCCAGGAATTGCAAGCGGACCTGAAGTGCATGATAAGAAGGGGATAGAATGCATGAGAGCTTCTGGAAGGCTGGCAGCAAAGGTTCTTGAATATGCTGGGACATTAGTGAAAGTATGATGATTGCTCTTTCTACTCTTTTTCGCCTTAAAAATGGGCTTAATTTCAGGTGCTTTGTTTTCTTGCACTTCAGAGAAGTGGCCTCTACTTTCATGTGTGTGGGACTCTGATATGGTGAATAACATAGTGAAAGTTTTCCAGGACTTATTATTGTTATTATTTTTCTCAGGTTTTCTCTCTTTTCAATTGCAAGAATCTTTCCAGTTGAGGCTATATCAGGATGCAATTTAAACTTCCAATATGAAATTTATTTTTAACTGATATCTAACTACAAAGAAGTTTAGAGTATAATGTAATTTTGCTTAAACTACTCAAGGTTTTTCTCTTACTCAAAAGTTATTTCTGCTTATGTTGGCAGCCAGGCATTAAGACAGATGAAATTGATGAGGCAGTTCACCAAATGATTATTGAAAATGGCGCATATCCTTCCCCTCTTGGCTATGGAGGGTTTCCGAAAAGTGTGTGCACATCAGTGAATGAGTGTATTTGCCATGGAATACCAGATTCCCGTCCGCTTGAGTTCTTGCTTAAGTTCTGAAAACGCGTTATTCTTGAGTTGCTTAGCTATTTTGACATTGTTGAATCACAAAGC